TCGGTGCCTCATTACTTTACATATGTATTAAACCCACTAACATGTCTGAACTGGGCCATTGTACTTAGGAAGAAAAGTACAGCAGCTTCCAGGAACTCCTGTAGGCTCTCCAAGGTCAACAGACATTTGGGTAACTTACAGGCCATTTGATTACATGCCTTCCAATGAAGAAATTAATTCCCATCTCCTAGTTAGAGGCAACTGTGCTAAAGGCTTAAGATGGCAGTCTCCTGTCATGACTTGAAAATAGCTTTAAATAATTTTTACTTAATGCTGTGAGACAGTAACTTGGCTTTTTGGAGTATTGAGACAAGAAGAGTATCTTCTTTGTCTACCATAATGTTGTTTTTTTTTTTTTTTGATTGTGTGAATGATGTTTTGTGTAATACACACTATAGAAAAATATTGGCTCAAAAATCTGGTAAGCCATCAATCCCAAAGGCTACATTTTGTTACTCTTAGTCATATTCCTATCAGTTCTTTTGTAAGATTTAAGTGACTCCAGTATTTAACAATTTTTAATTTGGGTTCTTAAACAACTGCAACAATATGCTTGTAAGTAAAGTTGATTTCCTTTCTCCAAGGAATGCTTCCAGCACTACAGCTGATGCCACTTTCTCACTGTTTATTGTTTCCCTTTTACTCCTGTATTATTGTATTCCCACAGTATTACAGCAGGGTAGTGATGCAGTTCTCAGATTTGTTCTTTTGCCTGTAAAGACATTTTTAAAACATGACGAGTTTCCTTTTTCTTTGCATTCACCACCATTTAGAAATTAACTTCTCTCCTTTTGTTTCTCTCCTTTAGAGAGTCTCTGATACATTTTGTCATTGTGTACAATCTGTCCAATTAGAATGCCTTTCCGTTTTTTTTCATCTGGTGTTATATGAATGCAACTGTGTAACTCACAAGTGTTATGTAAATATATACATACCTCTCTACATAAATAGCTGTCATTTTTATGTTTTTAAAGTGGGGCATTGATTCTATTGCATTCACATACAACATGCTAGAGATACATTATATAATTCCAGGTGAAAATAATGTCAGAATTTTTTACATGAAATGGAGACATAGTAAAAGTATATGACATATAAAAGTATATTTGGAGAACCTTGCAGGACACTGATGAAGGACTTGCAATATATTTTAACTTGGAATAATTACAAAAAGTTGGAAAACTATGAATAGGCATAACATATGTGACCTTGACGGAAATTTGTCCTTCTCTGTGAAGTGCAGGACTCAAATCTACAGGAAGGTTTGATCATTCTCTGATTAAATTAATGCATGGTTGTTACAGCCAGCTTGTCTGAAATCAGACCAGAGTGTGCATACTTACCCTTTGAATGGTGCTGTTAAGCTGTCCTTCCCCTTCTCCCTTCATTTATGTTCCTCACTTTCTGGAGTGGAAATGTACATTGCTAAGCACACAAGCATGCACAAATGCCTCTGTATCTTCCAAATTAGAAGTAACCTTGCATTAAGTATATTGCATAATTTCAACTATATAAAATGTACATGGAATCCTGTACTCATTTCTATGCCATTTTATTATGTCTGAATTTAATTGTTATTTGCCGCATGTGACTGACGCCTATTTGTGTTCTGCAGTGTTTGATATCCATCACAGTTTGAACTTAGGCAAAGAACTGTAATGAAGTCATTCTTCTAAATGCAATTTTGAAATGTTTCATTATTTTAAAATAGAAATGTTTTACTGGATCTGTGTCTTTGTGACTTCCGGTGTTTTCTGCCTTTCATGTTTTTAGCTCCTAAATCTCATTATATGACAGCTTAAGATATTATTGCTTTAAAATATTAATTTTCTTAGAATAAATTGTCACAGCTAAGGTCACGGGAGGTTGATAAGAACCTTCTGTGTCCATAAGCATAACCCATTCCACTGAGATCTGCAGAGAAATTTCTCTCTATGCTGCATGTTAGGTTTTCTTCTGCTGACAGGTGACTGTTATCAAGTATGTAATTCATAATGACATCTCAATGTCTTAAAAAATTTCAGTCATAAAATAACATTATCTGCTATGAAAATGGCAAAATCAAATGTTAATGCCCATGTTTAACTCAATGTTTTTCTGTTCTCACCTTTTAAATTGAATCAGTACTGAAGGTATAATTTTTCATTAATTGCCTTTCCGCATATAGAATTCTTTCTGAAATCTATGAAAAGTATGCATAAAAATGGGAGGAGAAAAGACCATTGCTTTTTTCAGCAGATTTTGAAAGTTTGTATCACTGCCACTTTGACATGTTTCTTACAATTGAAATATTTAAATCCATTGTAAATTTATTCTTTTTTTTTTTTTTTGCAAACCCACACAGCATTTGAGAGATCTGATATTATCATATTTTTTATTTCAGTCATGCTGATTACTATTAATCTGTATTCTGAGTGCTCTAAATATCTAGATTTCTTCATGACTGATGTAACAATTCTAAAATCTGACTTAAAGTATTTGCAGGCTAATCACAACATTCAAATGCACTGAAGCTTTACAGTACTTTGAAACTTTGGCCATGCAATTACTAGGTGCAAAATTGCACTGTTTTAGTAAGACAGATATACAGACAGACATCAATTGGCCTTCCAGTATCAATTCACATACCTAGTATCTGTAGCTTTCAGAGTGATCGCAGGTAAAAGAAGCTGTATATGCTCATGGTTCATACATTGAATTCACTGAGTGTTTCTTTAGCTTAATTCAACAGTGTATGACTTTGTCTTTAATAATACTGTGGTCAAAATAAGACCTATATGTAAATGTGGTGGATTCACCTTGGCCAGCTGTGAGACCCCCACCCAGCTATGCTTTTGCTCTCTCTTCAACAGCACAAGGAGAGAAAATAAGATGAAAAAGTTTGCAAGTTGAAATAAAGATGGAGAGATCCCTTGCCAGTTATTGGCACTGGCAAAATAGACACAACTTGGGGAAAGTTAATTTACTTTATTGATATTTAAAAGCAGATTAAGATGGCAAAAAATATGCTGCCCCATCCCCTTTCCTCAGGCTCAACCTGTCTTCAGGCTCAACATCTTCATTCCCAGCTCCTGCATCTTCTCCTCCATGAGTGGTACAGAGGTCATGAGGAATGACAATGTGTCCATGACGGTTTGTCTCTGCACTCGTTTCTTGTCACGCTTTTTTTGTGCTGCTGTGTGGGTCCTCTCCATGGTCTGCAGCCCTTCAGTACAAATCTCCAGCATGGGACTTACATGGGCATTAGTTTTTCTAAGGAGAATCTGCTGCTGTGTGAGCTTTCTGCAAGTGAGTGCTTTTTCAACTAATGTCCAGCTTGCCCCAAAGTGGTCATCTCCATGGGCTTCAGGGAATTGCCTTCTTTATCATGGTCCTTCTTCTCCATAGGTTCCTCTCTGTTTCTGGTGCCTGGAGCACCTTCTCACTCTTCTTTTCTGACCTTGGAGTTTCTAGTGTTTTTTCTCACATTTTTACTTTTACTCCTCACTGCCTGGGCCATGCTTTGCCCTTTCTTAACTGTGCTTTCACAGAGGTACCACCTGCTTCACTGGTGAACTCAGCTGTGTCCTGCAGTGTGTGCATTGCAGAGCAGCCCTGACCACTTATTGCTGACATCAGCCCTGCAACCATCCCCAGAGCCAAAACCTTGTCACCAACACCCAGTGTAATAAGATGGAGAGAAGAACATAAGGGAATAAAAACTAGATCCATAAAGACAGAAATTTAATTTGGTTTGTTGTTTGATCAACTACAATGAAGTTAATTTGTGATTATCACTTCTCTATACAGTTTCAATAGAGCACTTTTATGAAAGATAAACTGAAGGTATTGTGAGGAGGAGGTAGAGTGGTTTTTGATCACTAAAAAATACAGAGAAATCAAGCTTGTATTCTTAAACTTTTAAAAGAAGGAAGGGGACAAAGAGCAGTGCAGATCAATGGGGTTTTGGTGTTACAGGGTTTAGGATGCCAAAAATAACTTTCTTACATTAGGGAACATATGATGTTCTTTGTCTTCTCACACATTATCTTTGAATGGTTATAAAAATTCTGTGAAAGTATTTTACCCCCCCTTACCTGTTTACTGAACAGCCTTTTTAGATTCAAACTATATTTGAAGTGATGGGGAGGTCTTCTGTCTTAAATTGTATGTTTTTTGTACATATGGGTTATGCTCCTCTCTAGAAGAAGCCAATTTCCAAGGTCTTGTATATCTCTATCTCAGCTAGTGACAAGTACTGCTTGATTAGCTATTTATTTCTTAAATTATCAGGCACATAATTCGATAAACAGTGTGAAATGTTTTAGTACCTTTGTTCCTGGACAAACAGTTGAAGGCCTTGATTGTGCAACAGCTAACATGTACATTTAATTTTCAGCTACTGGGCATCACCTGGCTACCTGGGCTACTCTGATATTTGCTGGCTATTATTTTTCATATTTTCAGCATGAGATATCTTCTTGAGTCTTTGTGCACTTTCTCATATAGTTTTATATCTTACATTGATCATTATTGATGCCTTGAAGAAAGCTTGGGTACTTCTACAGAAGCTATATCACCTTGGCTGAAGCTTATCAGGAATCTTAAGAAATATTTTTACTTTGTAATTTAGTTATCTATTCAGAAAACCACTAAATACTTCTCAATTTTATGAATTTTTTTTAAACAATTAATTTTGAATGGATAAGGGGTCCAGACTTTTTTTTTTTAAATAAAATATTACAATTTTTAAAATATGAGGCATTC